CTTGAACATAGCCTCATTATCAGGAATATGCAACAGCTTATGAGCATCTGCTTCAAAAATGCCAATAAGGCGTTCATTGCTAGTAATGGTTATCATGTTTTTTACTCAGACGGTAGAGCAAATAAAAGCAACTACAGATACTACAAAGCTACCGACTTAATATATCTTATCGATTACTTATTGCGCAACAGTTTTTGTATTTTTGCTGGTAACATATTCAATCAGACTAAAGGTGTTCCGCAAGGAGGCAACTTCAGCCCGCTGTTGGCAGACCTTACGCTGTCAATCATGGAATACAATTATGCAAAGTGCAATAGATTCAATGCTAGTAAATTGCTCATTCCATACAGATATATGGATGATCTCCTAGTCATACATAACCAGTCTGAAAATGAAGTCGATGAACAACTCGCGGAGGTCTATAGAAATACCTCCAGTTGAAGAAGAAGACACACACAACTGAGCTGTACAGTAATTATTTGGACTTAACCCTCAATATAGTAAACGGCCAAATTACTACGGGTTTATATAATAAAACAGATGACTTTAACTTCAAAGTGATTAGATTCCCACACAGTGAATCAAATATCTCCACTAACAACAAGGCTTCCGTTATATACACAGAAACCCTTAGGATAGCCAACACCTGTACTTGCTTTGATACGTTTATTGGAAGAGTATCGGATATGGTAAGAATGCTTTATAGCAGTGGTTACAGTGAGGACTTCATTATAGCTAGTATAGTGAGGAGTATTTATAGAAATAAACTTATATGTTACAAATACTCTATTATGAATGATTACGGTAGCATAAGCCGAATTAGTCCGAGTATTTCAGTGGCGACGGTACAGCACGCGTTTTCGTTTAAATTGGTGTCTATGTAACACATTTTTTTACCCGCATGTGTCGTGTAGTATTTTCGGATATTATATTGCAACATCAACTGATAGTTTTTCGTAATTACGCCGTCCTACTCACGTTATCCAATCAATTAGCATTCTTAAACCTCTCGGTCTTTATCGCTTTTAACTTTATAACTTATAAACTTGCTGCAATTGATTTTTCTTCCTTTCCTTACTGAAGAGCACGGAAGGAGGAATATGCTTTTGCTCGGCTTCCGTCTAAGGGCACGTGCGAAACGGAAGCTGAGCTATCTCTTTGCTTTCGACCCCCCTCAATAATTCTCATTTATTAGATTTTACAACATAGTTCATTAATCTGTTTCAAAGATTTTTATTGCTGATATCCATGCATGCATGTATTGGGCCCCTCTGTCCCTAGCGGCTTTGCGCACGTCGTGGGGATCCCAGCGGATCCCAGGGAGAGGGGGCGTAGTTGCTCTTGAGAAAATGTTCCCAGTTAATGACTTTTCTCACTTTTCCATTCATACTCCTGCTTCCAGTGCGCTGCACACCTGTCTCCCTACCACCCTCCACCCCCCCCCTTCACCGTGGCTCGACGGCAGTTTCTTGTGGGAAAAAAAGGACAAATTTTGGAGGAAAAGTGGACAATTTTCGGAGAAATTTCGGGAAAACTGGAAGAAAGTCGAGGAATAGGGGAATTAAGGAAGACTCAGCGATTGGGAAGGGGTTCATACTAGAGGAGGAAAGTTCGAATGTGAGGTTTCTGCAAAAATTTTTCGCTACGGTAGTACTTGCCCTGCTCTGCACCTCCGTACTTCTAACAGATGTTTTCGGCGAGTGTAACGCGACGCCCAGTATAATTGATACACCAGCATGGCTTCATACACCAGCATGGCTTCGGCCGAATACACCAGCAATTTAGGAGATTAGGCACTGATCAATCCACACCTAATACCGCCGCGATTGCCTCACCGACACGCTGACTCTTCACATTCGCCAAAGCATGAAAAGGAGTCTGCGCGAGGACAGCAGCACATCGTTAGTGCGGAAAATCCCCAAGATGGGGCGTCCTATTTTGCCGCCAGAAGAGGGGGAGCCGTATTTGGGCTGAAAAAAATTTATTGATAGTTGATTTTTCTCGCTTCACGGACGTTATAAAGGAGGGGGTCGCACTTGCTCATTGTTGGGAGGAGGAGGAAGGGGACGTATTTACTTTCTGGCCGTTCTACGAGTGGTGGTTGATTTTTCGTAATTTTCGGTTCGTATGGACTATCCCACCCCCCCACTCGATTCGATGAGCGGGGGGGACAGGGGAAGGGGGTTGATCACCCCAGCAACCCACAAAAAAGGGGGGAGGTCGTACGGACTCGACTAAAATCGCCCACCAATGATGTGCCCTGTCGAGGACATTCCCCCGCACAAGAAAATCAATCTACAAATCTGGAGAATAATACTAGGAATCCAGTGAAAACGTCGACTTGACAATGAAAAAAATTGACCTAAAAACACTTCTGGATCCTTCAGCAGATGCTTCTGTACAACGTGCACCCGAAAACTTCTTCTAGTTGCCAGGACTGACGAACATATTGGGCACTGATTTATCACTACCACACCTGAAACCTTATAATTATGGCAGTTAATATTTTAGAACAGAGCCGAAAGAAATAAATGAGAAAAGAAAAGAAACATTGGACCACTGCTGTGAACAGTTGTTTGAATTGCTATGTACTTGCTCGCTCTTATGGTTGATTGCAGAAGCAACATTTCACTCCATCCACCCCTTACTCATTAAATGAACATTTCAGTGTCAAGAGCAGATATGAAGCAGGGCGTACATGATTAGGCGTGTGACTGGTCGTGTGGCGTGGTTGTGGCGTGCATATCGCGTCGAATGGTTGAAACATAAGAAACAACGAATTATCATCAGTGATATCACTGCCAAGAACCGTCGATAGCGAGACTTCTACAGCCGATGACAAGCTGTACACTCATCTTCGATGACGGTCCTTGCCATGTGTGAGGTGAGTAGGTGAGCAGCTGCAGCAGCGTGTCATTTTCTCCGTTCAAAAGGGCACGGTAACGTGGCTGTAGGGTAGGTAACGCGGTAACATGGCTGTAGAGTAGTGCGGACTCGTGAGACAGAACCCAGGATCACCATACTTCAGCTCCGCTCCTAAGCACTGAGCGGAGAAAGTGGCACGATATTGCAGCTGCGGACCCATTCACCTCGCACATGACAAGTACCAGGATCCATAAGGCTGCGTTTATACTTTGCGGCAGCGTACGCTAGCGGGCTTCCACCGTTCGGTGGCGGCAGTGGTGAAGCTCCGCCTGCTGTGCGAGGCTCCGCCCACTTTGAAGAAGCCCCCACACTTTTCAAAAATGGTGCAAGTCGGCAGCATAGGGTCTTGGCTTGCATGCTAGGGTCTCGTCCGTCACTCGGAACAAGAAAATCACGCAAAATTTGTTCCGAATAATCAGCAATACCCTAGCATGCCAGCCCAGACCCTACACTGCCGATTTGCGGAAAGTCGGCGGGGCCTCTTCGAAGTGGGCGGAGTCTCTCAAAAAGGCGGGGCTTCAGTGGTAGCAGTACCAAAAATGCAAAATGGTTTGTGAAAAAAAAAAAAAATATCATGATTCGGCAAAAAGCGAGTGGGCGTGGTCAAGGGGGCGGAGCCTAAATCACCAAACCTCTCAGAGAAGACCCAAAGCCCTATGTAAACCCAAAAACCCACATATTATTAGGTTGGCGGGAAAGTTCTGTCATATATTTTTGAACCCAAAATATTTGCTAATTTTCTGAAAAGCGTTAACCGGTAATATGAGCACTTATACATCAAAGAATGGTCTTTCTATTGGTATCACTGGCTTGACTCCTGCCTCTCCTTATCGTGCAATATGAACAAGAATGTTATCCGCTACCTTTGGCACCGACCCCTCCAAGTGCTTCCTCAAACTCTTTCTTCTACCGCCCTGGCGCCAGCATGACAGCTGTCGACGCCGAAATAACGGAGCTGCACATGGACAATGTCTACAGTCATCTGACAATCTTCCACGACGCTGGCTCTTCAGAGCGGGAGGCTACGGTGCGAATGGCGAAGTGATGTTTGGGAGTACCTGTGATCTCAGCTTGAGATAGCTGTGGGCCGGGAAACTACTGTATAAAGAAGCTGTCTCCTCGGTTAATCCGTACGCAAGGCAGCTACGAGATCTGAAGCGAATCGTCAAGCAGAGGGCAAAATCCATCGGCACAGTCCGTCTTCAACGTGCTGGTGCAGCACACCCCGTCAAAAAAGTTCGAGCCGTACTTCATGCAATGGAGCTGGATGGCTCTCCCCTTGCAATGATGTAGTCCAGACATTGCTCTTTCTGGCTGCTAGTCAACTCCTGTATTCAACCGTTGCACAGCCGAGAAAACCTCCACGACTTGAGCCCAAGTCAAAGTTGAGATGATGTCCAACATTGCGTCGTGCCAGCCTCCATTGTGAAGCGATGGCATCCACGAAGTGCTCGAAAACTGGCAGGGATTCCGCAATGACATTGCTGTATAATTTTGATCTTGTACGCCTCTCTATAAAAAGAAAGCCTTGTTTGAAAAAATGTGACAGAACTTTCCCGCCAACCTAATACATATAACATATCATCACCCCGTATATATAATTCGCTTCGTTTGTTTGTTTGTTTGTTTGTAAGTTTGTCTGTCCGGAAATTCGGTTCGACCTGAAGAACGACTTGGAGAGGTCGGGTCAAGGTGGGGATGGGTAGGGCATGGGACAAGAAATAAAAGCACACTTGACCTATGGGAAGCCCCGCCCACAGTGGGCGGTGCTTCCGGAGCAGCGTAAAGATGGGGAAAAAGGGAATAAGGTTAGTAAGGAGTCGCCAGACTAACTGTGGAAGACACGTCCAAAATGGGCGGGGCGTACTCATGGTGGGCGGTGCTTCTCGCAAAATTCAGTAACCCTGTTCGCGAGAGTGTTTGGAAGTCGCAAAAAACTCAGTGTAGAATGTAAATATCTGGCGAATATAGGCACGCTCAAAGTGTGTTGACCCGCCCACAGTGGGCGGAGCTTGCCCTTAATCGCAGGGTAATCATTTCAAAAGTTTGTAGCTCGGTTCCAGAACACTCCAGACACCGGAAAAAAGTGGTCTAAGGTCAGCAGAGGGTCGCCGGTGAGGATTGTGGGGCAAAAACATTGTGGGCGGAGCCTGCTCCGAGGTGGGCGGAGCCAGACAAAAAGGTCTGTAAAACGGTTCCAGAGCACTCCGAAGACCGGAAAAAGTGGATTAAGGTCAGCAGAGGGTCGTCGGTGAAGATTATGGGCACAAAAATTGGGGGCGGCCAGCCCGAGGTGGGCGGAGTCAGACGAAAAACTGTGAAACGGTTCCAGAGCACTCCGAAGACCGGAATAAAGTGAATTCAGGTCAGCATGGGGTCGCCGATTGAGAAATGTGGGGTATACATATGTGGGCGGAGCCAGACGAAAGTTCTCTAAAACTGTCCCAGAGCACTTCAAACCGAAAAGAAAACGTGGATTAAGGTCAGCAGAGGGTCGCCGGTGAGGATTGTGGGGCACAAAAATTGGGGGCGGAGCCTGCTTCGAGGTGGGCGGAGCCAGACAAAAATTCTGTAGAACGGTTCCAGAACACTTCAGACACCGGAAAAAAGTGGAGTACAGAACAAAAAGGCGGATATCAGTGAGTTAAAAAGTAAAATAAAATGATAGAAAAGAAAATCACAGCGCGGCGAAGCCGCGCCCGCCCGGCGCAGCCGGCCGTTAATCAGAGGGGGCACGGCCGGCGTCTGAGCCGGCGAGCGACTGGATATACAAATACCTTCGAAAAACGCTAAATCGATACCTATGCTTTCCTTGCACTCGCTACGCTAGCGTACACCAGTGTAACGCTAGAGTATTCTAGCGTTACGCTAGCGTACGCTGGTGACGCTAGATCGATATTCATCCTTCCCTTGCCACTGCCGCTGCCGAACGCTGGAAACGCTAGCGTACGCTGCCGCATAATATAAACGCACCCTAAGGGTGAATGTATAGTTTCACTGAAGAGGCGGACCTGCCCAGGAAAAATCTACCTTTAAACTTATCGTGCAGTAAAGGTTACAACAAGGTGCACAAATATATAAACCGTCGGAACAGAAACTTCGGGCATAGGCAATCCATTGATGGAAAGGAATTACCTGTTAGTTCATTGCATTTGCTCCACGCGATCCCAGATATCACCAATACTTTCTTCAAAGTGCCTCAGGAGATGATTATCGCGCACCTTCAATTACATGTGAAATCCTCAAAGGAATGTTCGAAAAGCTATTGAGCAACAAGTTGCACTCACATGCTTAGTTGCGAAACAATCTCCACAGTACTCGCACTCATACGAGGAAAGCTTTCGCACCCTTGCATGGGACACACGTTCGTGTATTACGACTTCTTTGACAGCTAAAAAAATTAAGTTGAGCAGATGAGTAGCGAAATACTGTAAATACTCGGATACATACTTAAGAAGGTTTTGCAACACAACCGGCATTCCATGAAAGCTCCTGAACCCAAGCGGTCACGGTAATGGTTCTTGAGATGCTCCTCAAGATTATCCGCGAATACATCACAAATGCTGAAAGCATAATGAATGCTTGTGAGCAAGGCGAAAAAGAACACACATAAAGCAAAATAACATGAAACTTCACATGTACAGTAGCCAAAAAAAAAACATTTAAAAAGATATGAACAGGACACGTTTTCGACCGTTGTTACATGCTTATTCTCCCTAAACCAACGCAATAGGAATAGTGTTCAATGAAATAAAGTAGTGGTGACTAATAACATCAATCGTTTGACAGAGAAAAGGTGGTGTGTAGAGACAAGTGGCGCTACCTACCATCCACTAGACTTGTCTGAGTGGATAAATACACTAACTTGTACATCGACTTGCTCCCACAAACTACTATATGGCAATATCGCAATCTTAACCCACTAACATCCTAAATGGAAGTGTAAGTGTAGTGCGTGCCGGATCCCAAGAAGTGGTAGTTCATCATCTCCGAAAGCTCCGCCCCAAAGTTTTTTTTGGAGCGAAGTTTCCCACCGACCGGCAAAGTAGCGGAGACTCCTCTTGTGTGCACCTCTGTTGGGTTATCGAATTCAAGAAAACTAAGCACTCGGGGAAAATCAAAACATCGGCAGAACAATAGAAAATCCTGCGACTTTGGCTTGTTCATGTTTTCATTCCGCTTCTTACTAGAGGACAAATGTCAAAAGACTCAAAATATCAAAATCGAAATTAACATCAATATGAGCAAAGCATCGGTCGCGCACACTTGTGGGCCTGCTACGGAATTTGAAGCAGCAGAATCTCCAAATTTTGGCACTACTTCTTTGCTTGTTGCTCATTCTCATTCAAATTTGGCAATTTGGCACACTCCAATCACTGCTATCACGTTTTCACTTTCTGTCAAGCGACAATGGCGCCAAATAGAATGCCGTGTTTGCGACTAGGTCATCGCACAACTTGAGTAAAGTTCTACACCAAATTTCGCCAAAAAAGCCGGTACTGCTCACAAATCGTATACACAGAAAAGCACCGTGATAACCTCTATAAGGAAAGGTTCCCAGGGAAAAAAGGAAAAATCCTTTTGTTACCTCAATAAACGCAATTTGCCCATAAACTTCTTAATTTTATTGGGAAATGGGACCAAAAAATAAAAAAAGAGACGAAAGTGGTTATTTCTCTACCACTTCTCAATAAAGAAAAATGTGGTTGGCAGAATTTGTACGAGAAGGTCATTTGCGGCCATCCAAACACATGTTGTGAATAAATAGGTACGCGAAGCGAGTAATAGAGGAACAGATGCATAATCTCGAGACGTTTGACTACAAATACAATAAAACAAGCGATTTACCTGCAAATATGGTGTTCGTGAACGCGTTCAGCCGAAGCACCGCACTGAGAGCATCGAATGATTGTGGGATATGAATGCTGAAGAGCCAAATTAACAGCACATTGTGTAAAATAAGGAATGTGGATGAGCGCAAATAATGACTACCTCGTAGAGTATATGCTCGTGAAGTCTTGCATGACTGCATACGACTACACCACAGTAGCAAGCCGTCTCTGGCCTAATTACAGGAATTACAGAAGCAGGGACGGCTAAAGAAAAAGGTAAGAATCACTATCATATCGTTCAAAGAATTTTTAGTGTTTCTCTTGTGCAGTATCTTACCTTTTTTCTTTTTCCTTTTGGGTGTGTACAGCCTTTTGACCTTGGTTTTTCTATTAGGTTTTCTTCGGCCATCTAGAAAAGCTTCATTTCTCTTCGACATGAATGTTTTCATGAGCCGTTGAGATAGAAGTGATAACAGCGCGAAGAAACCGGTATAACAATAAGCGCCTTCCCGAGTGGGATAAATGTAAGTCTTGAAAATAAAAACAAAGGAGGGCAATTTTCTCCAAACTTTGCACAGTTCAAATACGCACTGAAATCCTAACAAAGGAATTCAAAAGTGGGCATACAAAGAAAAGGACTGATCTACGACAAACGCTTTTGAGTTTATCCGAACAGTACCATACTGCTGGTCTAGTGGACTATGGTTGTTGAAAGGTTACTGGAACCTAGAGTCTCCAACTTCCAATACTCGAAATAGAAAAAAAAATCTATACAAACGAATTCATATCAAAACTTTTTGGAAGTAACAATTTGTCATCATAAGACAATTTTCCAAGTTCTTCCAAAAGGGTTGAGGAGTTCGAGAGTGAATAAAACGCCTTTTACCTTGATTTAGAATTGTGATTCTTCCAGAAGTTGACGATTAAGAAGTATAATTCCGTTAGAAATGACAATGACGTGATGTATAAGGTATGTTACTAAAATTTCCTCAGACTCTTTCTAATCCTTTGATCTCCCATTTTCGAAGCAAAGGCCAGCTTTCCGTTTTCGCGCGTAACACTGAACTCTTATTCAAAAACGAGAATACTAAGGATGGTAAAAAAGAAACTCATTTCAATTACAACGAGATTAGTCATCTTTTTTGGTATGCGACATGCAATACCATCGATCGCAGTACTACGAAGTCAATGGCTACGATGACCTCGGAGGATAGCCGAGAAACAAGCCTGTTTTCTTAATTTCCCAGACCGAGTGCTACCACTATTTAAACAGTCCCCGGAAGCGTTAGGAAAGCTTGGGGTTGGTCTGGCGGGAGTTATCCGGGATTCGATACTTGACTGAGCGCGTGGTAAGGGCCACCTGCCACCACCACCTCCGCCTAGAAGCATATCAGCGTCGCAGAATAACGAAAACAATAAACTTCCCCACCAACCTAATAGCTGAAGATACGGAATCTTTCCTAGAACTGCCTACTGCAAGAGTAATTCACTCTACTGCAAGAAAATGAAGCTGCGCAAAGAATGTGGACATCGATGTGTACAACAGAACAAAGCGAAAAATGAAGTTTATTACAAAGAACAAACACTCACTCGGGTTACGCGTTGGCGGTGGCTCTTGAGGGATACACAGTGGAGGTAGGACTTCAGGTTCGGAGTCAAAACGTACTCGTGATCTCTCCGGCAACGTTTCACTAGCGGATCTTTTCCGAATCTAGAATTTTCACAAGCTAGCTCAGTGAAAATGTTGAGGCGAAAGAAGTGGTCTCGAAGGCATGTGAATCACTTTAGAAATAAAAGAAAAGAAAGGTCCCTGATTTCGGAAAACGATATCAATGAAATCAACCAAAACAAATGTAGTGACACAGAAATGCAAAACACTCGACGGAGCAATCAAATATCATTAATATCGAATTAATTCAAAAAAGTTTCGAAGAAATGCTGGCACCACAATAAATGTACGTTACCTCGTCGACAAATATGCTCGACTGTGGCGGTGGGGGTGGAAGCGACACTTCTGACATCACCTTTTTGACGACAGTAGCGAAAATGGCGTCATATCGCTTGTGGAGGGCTAACCTTTCACGAAAACGAGTCTGATATATTCTCCTGGAAAAAGGAAAAATGGCACATTCTTGTCCACGCACGAACAGTAGTACCAACATAATACCGAAAATGGCGAAGAGATTGGTGAATAGCAGAATATTTCGGACTAAGGAGTTAAAAAAAACAAAATTATCCAACCACACTCCATATCCCTGATATGTGGAGGGCGTGACTGCATATTTCATTTGACTGTAGCGGCTGCTCTGCTACAGGTTACTGCCGTTCTGAGACAAGTGTAGTCATCGCGTTGTGCAACACAAGATAACGGTTCTTTCAAATGAAAGTATTTTACGAAAAATGCATCGTACGCCACGATCGAAAAGTGATGGGCCACGCCCTGCCCATCTCAAGGATATTGGGTTTATATAGATGACAACGATATCAGGCTTATACCGATGAGTATTTTCTACATCAAAATCGTTCTTCAGATATTCGAATTAACGAAAAAGCGTGAATGGCGATAATTGTGCACTTTCGTAGTTTTATCATTATCGAGACCATTTTCACGTAGCTGCAGAAAATGCGGTCGTTCTAGCAAAATACCATTCTCTTACGAATATCAAAAGCCAGGCGTTGGTAGTGTAGTGGCTGGTAACACCGCTGCTGCGGTATGGCGCTAAAGTCCTGGTTCGCTTTCCACAGCAAAATCTTCTTCCACCCGCCACTAGCATGTTGGTAGCAAACTTTTCCGGGAGCATGGAGCCACGGATTCCCCGCAGTTGGCTCGTGCGGGTGCAGGTATGGATCATATCAACCCAAAACCCTTCTACGGTTGCAAATGGAAGCAGAATGCGGGGCATGTACCGAAAAAGGGATTGATCAAAGGCAAGAGCTTTATTTTTTTATACAAAAACAGCTGGATAGGACACTCGTTTCCGTAGATCTGGTAAGTAGTTGAACTAAAAGTATTTGGCTGAAGGGAAGACAAGTAAAGGTGTTTGTCTAAGATGGTCACGAAGTTAGAAATTCAACAATGAATCATGCGAAACAGGCACCAGCGCCTTCATAGTAAAAGAAGAAAATCGAAAACTAACGTCACTTGCTCAGCGGCTGGCACCATCACTACTTAGCAACAGTCGGAATGCCGATATTTGGCTTTCTAGAAAACATTTTTATTTTTAGTGTGGATAAAAATCATCAAGCAACATAGATAAAAACAAAATCGATTATCAACTCACTTCCTCACCGTCGTTTTCCGATTGGCATCGTTTATTGCGCACTGGCGATGAATCTCTGCAAAACTGGCATACAAAACTTGATCCAGTGAGTCCTTCACGAATGAAACGAGCACTCGAGTGGGATGCAATCACGAATAGAACCATTTTTGTGCATAACTTGAAGGCCTACTAACGCCTACTAACGTACTAGCGTTACTGAAAAGAGGCACGATTTGATATTTTGAGCAATCGCTAGTGTCTTCGGCCTCCGAAAAATATGAGAAGGAGCAACGTTTGGCCAATAAACGATTCCACCTAAAAACCCCATTTGGCAGAACTATAACATAATTTGACATTATGCCGAGGTTTCAAAAAGGGATTACTTGGAGACAAATCAAGACGTTCAA